TATAAATAAACTTTACTTACTTACTTACTTACAATGGAGGGGCAATAATGTAATATAATACATTATTTTATATATATTAAATATTTATATATGTATTTTGATATAGTCTTATATATAAAACCGACCCTTTGAGTGCAACCATGATGCTAATGTGGCCCGAGATGAAATTGAGTTTGACACCCCTGCACTATATGCTCTTTTTAATTTTTTTCCAACATCAACAATCCTGCTTGTAATCCACCAATTGTTAGTCATGTAACTTCAGTTTTTTGTATCCTGATTACGTTATCCCAACATGTAATCTATTACTCCCAACGCCTGTTCATAATGTATATTCTACTATTACAACTTCTGTCTCAACAGTAAAATGTTTTACTCAAAGTTACATTGGTGAGTTATACCTTATTTTGTGTTAAAAAGTATTGTTTTTGCAGGAGTTCGATTATGATCTTGGTCAGCAGCATCTTTTTAAATCCCCTCCATAGACTGAATATCATGTTCCTCCTCTCTGCCAGTCGTTCCCAAACTTTCTGGCTTGTATTTTCAACCTCTTGCCAAGTCTTACATTTGTATAAGTTATGAGCAGAGAGAGTTATTTTTACCTTCTCAACTTGTTATTTTGAAAAGGTTTCATACGGCTAAAGAGGTCAAACTAATAATCATGTAGATATATATCTTGGACGCTCTATTCTTTAAAAATAATTATGAAATAAATGATTTGTTACTTAATTTAAAGGCTTTTGACTGCCAAAAACATGGAGAGCCCATACATTGTTTCTGTTAGTGTTTACTTCCTGTCTGTCTTCTTCTGTTGATTTCTCTCACGTTCAACCCTCTGTCTTTTAACCTCTTTCCTTCTCTTGTTCTCTTTTTATTTTCTTCACAGGGGAAAGTTCAGCCATCATGAATCCAAGGTTGTTGTTTTTTTAAATTGACCGGACCTCTTTCTGTGGATTGATATGTCTGCATATAATCCTTTGATCAGAGCGGCCTCCTTAGCGACGGTCTGTTCTCCTTAGTAGCGGTCTGTTAGCGAGTATTACACATTCCTGGAATGTTCAAATTGACCAATCAGAATCAAGTATTCAACCAAGCCATGTATTAATGAAAAACAAGACTACCACAAACTACAGCTTTAAAAATTACCATAGAATTCAATCGATTTCTGAAGCAGTATTAATTCTAAATAAAAAGGAAATCTTATAATTTTGTACTTTGTTTAACTTTTTGATATATGCTAATCTAACACAAAGTCCAGAACATTTGTTTAGACTAACTCTCTCTTTAGGGGGTAAAGGAAGCCAGAAAGATTGTTGTGCAATCCTGATACAATCAAGGTCAAATGTGTATGTGTGTGTGTGTGTGTGTGTGTGTGTGTGTGTGTGTGTGTGTGTGTGTGTGTGTGTGTGTGTGTGTGTGTGTGTGTGTGTGTGTGTGTGTGTGTGTGTGGCACAAAACAAGAATCCACAGGAGGTGCTCTCCACTGCCATCACCAGGAGGCCTTTGCGGAGGCATTTCCCAGAAAAAACACGGCTTATTTTCCAAATGGTTCCAACGTGAAGAAAGACAGGACACTGAGGCATAGCCAACTGTGTGTGTGTGTGTGTGTGTGTGTGTGTGTGTGTGTGTGTGTGTGTGCGTGTGTGCGTGCGTGCGTGCGTGCGTGCGTGCGTGCGTGCGTGCGTGCGTGTGTGTGTGTGTGTTTTGGCAGGTCATTCACCAGGAAGATTGAGAAAAAGTTGCCCTGGAGTAATACAAAAAAAACTCTGTTATGGTTTCGAGCTCCATTATATGTGTGTTTGTGACAGTCATGCCATGTTTCCCCCTTTTTGTAAATGTTCACATGATTGTCTTTAAACTGCCTTAAATGGACCCCGGGGACAAGAGAAGTGGGGGCCCCTCACTCTGTCCTGTACTGACTGAGATGATACAGCTATCTCATGTACTATATACTTATTTATAACATGAGTTAGTTGAATAGTCGATTCTTATTGGTCAATTTGGACAATTGAGAGTTTGTTAATTCTCACTTAAAGACCGTTGCTAAGGAGAACAGACCGTTGCTAGGGAGGATCAAGGGACTATGCTTATTCATATCAATCCGCAGGAAGACGTGCGGTAAATTAAGAACCAGCTGTGGGAACAAACTTTATTTTTTATCCATCAGAAAATGCATCCATACTCTTAAGCGATCCCACCTCACATTTCACTCCAACTAATTAGCAGCTCAGTGTTTTTCCAACAGCCAATCACAGCCAGTTAACGGCGGAAAAAACGTTCTACGTCAGAAGGAGTGGCATTAAAGGCAAATGAAAAGCCAAGTCAGCAGGGCAGCCAAGTGTTAAACTCACGGTGTTGGCTTCATGAGGCTCATGGGACCGATCCAGGCCACAGTCGAGGCAGAGGAGTGCAGTTAAGGTTGTCCCTTCTTGTAATGATGACTAATACAATTATCTTTCTTGCTTTTTATGTTCCTTTAAAGTGTGTCATGATTGCAAAATAAGGCTCTAACAGTTACTCTTGAACTATTCCTTAAATGTAGATGTTTCTCTCCCCACCAGAACAGCAGCTTGTTATGTTTCTTCTTCTTCTCTATTCAGCTACAGAGAGACAGAAATGTCCTGAGGAGTGTGTTTGTTTAGGACAGACGCTTCTGATGCAGATATCAGACTGCAGATCAAATATCCGGATGTGCCCGGCCTGTCTGGTGGGTCAGTGTGTGTTTTACACTTGGCAGGACAACAGAGAACAAGTCATGTGAGCGTGCAGCCTGTTCCTCCCTCCTCGTTGCAATAATCACTCCTGCCTGTTTCAGAGTGTGTGAATACTTACGGCTAGGCAAACTTAAAGGGCAATAAAAGCATTCATTCAAAAAGTAAGTATTTCGGAGCCTGTCTCTGTTGCAGCGACAAGAAGACTGCTCATTTCCGGTTCATACTTGTATGTTGTGCCTCTACTGTGACATGTCTCCATGCTTTAATGTTCTAAAAGCTCTTTATTTATTACAGCACCTCTTTTCACCCTCTGTCTGAAACCAGAGCCCATGTCGGTCCCCTTAGCCTATCACGTGCAATGTGTTGGAATGGTAGTCAATAGAAGCTCTGGTGTTACAAAGCAAAGAGCTCCCTTGGCCAAAACCAATAGGATTTCTCTATTGGATTTTGGTATATAAGCTCTCTGGCAAGTACATGTTTATAATACTTTCACATTTGGTTCAGCAGGATAATCTCCCCATATTATAACATGACTTCACTTTACCACTGTTAAACTAGTTTATTTAGCCACTTGTTTGCAACCGCAGTTTGACCTATAGAAGCTTCGAACATTCAGTGGACATTACTGATGAAAAACTTTCAAATCTCTTCAGCTTGTGTTTACCACAGACTTTATTTCAGGCTCACAACCATGAACACATTCAAAAAACGTTGAAACCGGAAGTGTTAAAATGCAAACTGACTTCCAGGTTTTAGGATTAATTCTTTCACCTCGTCTCCAAGTCACTACAGTAAACACTTTCGTACCAACTGCAAATCACTGCTGCAAAAATCCAAACTTGTTGTGTGTGTGTGTGTGTGTGTGTGTGTGTGTGTGTGTGTGTGTGTGTGTGTGTGTGTGTGTGTGTGTGTGTGTGTGTGTGTGTGTGTGTGTGTGTGTGTGTGTGTGTGTGTGTGTTGAGTGAGTGTGTTTGTACCTCACTGATGATTCCCACGGCACCATGGATTTTGGCTACGTGACCCAGGAGAGCTGGGCACTGTTGACCCAGAATCCTCAGCGTTGGCAGGAAGCTGACCAGTGAGGAGGGGCTGGCCTGAGACACGTCCACCAGCGCTCCCAGCAGGCACTCTGTCAGGGACTGGTCTCCAAGGAAGCTAATAAGAACGGGAACCTGAGGGCTCAACATCTGGGTAATAAACAAAGATAGAGGGGGATGAAAGTTATATTCATTACTCTTGATTGAAGACCTGGTAATTCATTTGTATACTCTTTTGGGGTCAATTCAAACACCAGTCCTAATATACTGTTACATTACACACACATGCTGCTCGGGCTAAGATATTATACCTTTGATAAACATCTCAACTGCATAAACACAGAGTCAAGTGGTCAAATGTATGACGTTCTACATGAGAGCATAGTATATTTTTTTATTCATGACAGTCGTCACTATATTCTATTAAGATTTTAAAAGTGTATATTCATTTAAAGCCTTTCCAAATGCATATTTTTAAAACCAACAAACCAATGTTGTTGCAGGGGACACTGGGATATGCTTCCTCTTATTTTTAAGGGAGGTGTAGACGTTTAGCTGTTAAAAAATGTTTTTCTTCCAGGTCTCAGCAGCAGAAGTTATCCTGTCACTGTTTTGGCATCACCCCTCAATACCAAATACTGGCTCGATTTTAATGAAAGCTGGAGGAGAGGATTGACCCTTTGAGAGAGATGAGCGGACTGCTTTCTAATATCAAACAAAAGCTGGAATGTACCAATGTCTGGACCAATGCAGAGAAGTGTTTCCTCATTATCTAGACTGGACTGAATCACAATAACAATACATACCATGCATGAATGAGTCACTTGTTCTAGAAATTCATTAAAACATCCAACATTTTCTCCTCCTCAGGGAGAGTATGCTAAAGTTAGCACAGAATTTCCGTATCATTGTCATTTTTATTCTTTGTAATACTGCATCATTTCCAGTATTAGGATGCGGGAAGTTTGGAAACAATTGTGAGCAGTTTAGCTGCAGTCATCGCAGAAATATTTTGTGTGTCTGTGTGGGGGGTGAAGATTAAAATAACTCCAGATGGACGGTTTTGTTTCCGTAGTGCTTAGCATGAGTAGCTGTTACCCCCCTGTTTACTGGCACGTGGTACTTTCCCCCCATTTTGAACAACAGCGGCTCTGCCTCAAAATATGCAGGATTCAGGGAATTCCTTCAGAGAAGTGTGCACCACACGTTGACTCTGTTTGGCTGCATTTCTTACTACGTGCCGAGGGTATTTAATATATTTCAACATGAGCTTATTACAGGATATGGAGAAGTTTAACGGGAAAAGGTCAGATTTAGCATGATTCACGTTACAAAAACGCCCCACATGTAAGTTGGGTTGTGTTTTTTTTTCATATAACCCCAGTCTGATGTATTGTTTGTGACTAACTTATTTCTAATATTAGGATTTATTATTGATGGAAGGCTGCTCGGTTAAGGTGTTAACATGTTTTGAGAAAGTAACTGAAAGGCTGACAAAGATATGGCTGAGATCGTTTTTTTTTTTTTTTTTTAAATATGACAAAATATATTTTAATCACTGGTAAAGTAACTTCCATGTCCATGTGGTTATATAAAAAATAAAAGTCTGCGAAATGACAGAAAAATAAGTTAAAGTGCACCTATCATGCTATTTTGATGGAAATAGCATAGGTCTCAGATATATAAAAATATATAAAAAAGATGTGTTTTGCTCAAAATACCAAACAGATCACCCATTCTAGCCATGCCTCATATCCCTCTATTTCACTTCCTGTTTCAGAAGTGCTGATTTGGGGTATTAAGCTTTAAAAAAAAAGAAAAAGGGAGGGGGCTGAGCTCATGCAGGAGATGCTACCGGCAGATACTGCGGTGACGAAACGCCATGTCATGGATTATCAAGGATTGTTTCTGAAACAGTATGGAGCTCAAAGGCTTTCTCTCTTGCCAGTTATACCACAAGGTTCTTCTTCACACACATGCTCTCCAGTACAGGTTAGCTCTGAGTGTTAGCGATGCTAATGTAAACATGCACCGACCATATTACGTCCAAAACAGTCGGGCATTGTTTCTGATAGTAACTTTCTGACAGGGCCGTGGGTCCACATTTCCGATATTACGTCATATCGGACGCAAATCTGGATCAGCTCTGTTGTAGCCCCGTTTTACGAGATTTGGGTACGGTGGAAAAAAGAGAGGGTTTTATTTTCTGACACTGCGTGAGTTCCCCGACACACCAGGGACACATATTTATGTATAAAAGAAATCAAAAAGTGCATTTTGCATGATAGGTCCCCTTTAAAGTTAGTAAAAGGAAAAGGGAACTTCAGGGGTGTGTCGGCCATCTTTGGAGAAAGCCTCTTTAGATAATTGACCTTAACATTGGCTTATCATGCATTTTTGTCTACCAGTATATTTAGGAATACTGCGATTCATGTTTTACATCACATTCCCAGTGTAGTGGTTTGTGTTACTGTAGTTCAGCAACTCTCAACACAACTCAGCGTCTCTCGGTAATGTTTGCTACGTCTCTCTCGTTTCCATTTTGGAAAATAATAATGTAATCCATGGTCCTTTTTTTTGTTTTGCTAATTAGTCTTGGGAGTGGCTGTAACAGTCAAAAGTGCCTACCGACCATGTTTAAAAAAGTTAAAAGTTACGCTACTTTGCTAGCTTTTCAGGTTAAGTGAATAATTTGCTTCAGCTGGTATCCTCCAAAGATGTCCGACTTGCTGCTGATGACATCACATTCCCTATTGTAAATCTACACAAACAAACTATGCAAACACTCACAAGTGGATGTTGCTCTGCGACAATTTGAATGAGCCTGATCAGGTGTTGCTGCTCCGGGGACTCCAGCTGTGACATCATTGCAGTCAGGTTGCCTAGGTGACCGTGGATGGTGTCTGGTTGCCGGGGGTAGACTGAGGGTAACACTCGTAACAGCATGTGGTTACCTGTCATAGAGAGAGAGAGAGAGAGAGAGAGAGAGAGAGAGAGACTTCAGTAAGACTTACAGTAAAATACATACAACAAATGGACGCCATATAAAAAGAGTATACAGTGAAATAAATATAAGATAAGTTGTTCTTTATTGATCCCAAATTGGGACATTTAAATATGTATTGCGCTGTGTGGTCAGTTCCTTGTGTTATAAACCGGCGGACATATTGCCAGATTTTTCTTTTGGTTTATATTTAGGCTACTTTCAATCCATTTCATTTTCCATTCAAAAATACTGTGATTTTAATTCACGTATTAAACTCAAACCGCATTTATAATTGAAGAAAACACACGTTTGATCCCAAATATCTTGGTTTCTTCTTTTCTAAGCTCACATTGTTCTTTTGTCTTACATATCAAATTTACAAAAAGCAATCAATGCATCCCCAGAATAATTAAGTTTGTGACGATAAATGTGTAACTAGTACAAGAACTGAAAGCCATATTTATCTAAATTGGACCAAGGTCCCATGAAACCTAAGTTTCCTTTTAAAAATCTTGCATATTTGCCATTTTTCCTAAGAACACACACGTCAAGATACAACATCTGTGTTCAGTACAAAGGTTCAACACTGGCTGAACAACATTTGCTTACAGTTAAATTAAAAAAAAACAGTATGCATGATGTTCAGCAAACGACCAGTCAAAATTGAAAGATGCAACGTGTTTTTAAACGGAGCAGAAATAGAACTAGTCTCCCAGTTCAAGTATCTTGGAGTCATATTGGACTTGACTTTTAAGAAACATATTAAGAAAGTATCCAACACCATTAAATTCAACTTGCAACATTTTAAACAAATTAGACCTTTCTTAACTGTCAATGCTGCAAAGTCATATCTCCACTGTATGATTCTATCAAACTGGTCGTTTGCTTGTGCCACAAACCTGAAACCCAAAGAACAGCTGTACAAGAGAGATATCAAGGTGTTTGACAGAAAGCCTTATTCATACCATCACTGTACCATCCTTGATAAACACAATTTCTTAAGTTTTGACAATTTTAAGTCTTTTAATTAGTGTTGTTTTATAAATGTTTACGTGGACTGCCCCCCCCCCCTTAGGGGAATTCGTCCACAA